AATACAAAATGTATAAACAATTAATTGCAGTTGGTCCATGTGCGGCAACATACCGTCGTATGGGTGATCATCGAGAGCGAACAGCTGAGGAACTCGTCCGCGGGTGTCGACCAGTCACCTCAGCTCGTCCGCCATTATCAGTGAGTTACTTCAAATTGTTCAATTCATTGCATCACAGCTTTGTAAACGAAAGCATTTTAATCCTATAGAAAAAGCAGAGCCGTTAATCAGTTCCCTCCTGACATAAGAATTTAATGGTCGAGGAATTGCCTAGCGCAAAATAAATGACACAGTGGTTTTGTGAACGTTCTCTGATCTATCCAGTTGTGTATGATAACTTGCTTAGCATGCAAAGGTTTTTTTGCGAAGGTACGCAAATAGCTCTTTAAATATGTTAATAGGCAGGCGACTCATTTCTAGCATTGAGAGAATTAAACGAGCTCAGAAATGTTCTTTTTTATATTCAAAGGGCAATCCCGTAATTCATTGCTAAGAATGTAATTTGCGCCTTACAGCAAAAAGAACCTTTCAAATTTTGAGCGCGCATATATATTCTTTAAAAGTATTGAAATTCATAAATTCTCAACATCTCATTCACATTCTTTACTGCTGATGCTCTTGTTTACCCCCTAATCCTCATTTCATTGGCAGTTGCAGATGCCTATAATTACATGGAACTTTAAGACAAGCAATTAATAAGTAACAAATAGGACTTGAGGATTGACAGATACTTTTTTGAGAAATCCTCCAGCATTCCTCTAAAACTGAAAGTGCTTGAAATTGACTTTTTCGGTAAATTCATGTGAATTACAGATTACCAGGCGTGGCAGCAGTATTGTCAGCAGCACTGAGCATACTCCACTCAGCAGAGATTTCGTCTACACCCTCCATCACAATTTCAAATCATGTCTTCTCTACGGCAAAAACAATGTCGGTGTTGCTAATGGAGATGCGCCAGCTGTTAAAGGTTTGTTCGTTTTATGTGCGTGTCTTAATTCCATCGTTTTGTCTTTTTGCTGACTGGCGATAGTTAAGCAAGCAAATAATACTTGATCTATGATTCGCCTGATTAATTATTTTTTCCAGGATATCTTTCCCTCCACAAAAGTTACGAGGGGGTGCTTTCCTTGAGATGGACGCCAAACCAATTAATGCATGCAAGGTAAATCGAAATAAA